GAAGAGAAGAGAGGAGGAGCAACAGAAAGAAAAACTGAATCAAAGACTAAAAGAATCTCACCAACAAGCTAAAGAGCAGTTTGAGAAAAAATTGAGTGGCCACATCTTAGATGAATGTGAGTCCAAGCGAGATGTTCTAACAGGACATCTGGATAAGTTTGAAGCTAACTATAAATCAGGCAGTGACAGTGATGAGTTTCTTGAAATCCTCTTGGTGAAATGCAGTCTCCCAGTTACAAATCTCAGTCTGACTCAGCTCACAGCTGATCAGCTCAGTGAGATCCTTTCAGTCCTGGACAAACTTCTGTTTGATGAGTGGATTAGTGCTCCTCCATCCATCAGCACTCTGCAGCACACTCAGGTGTTCATCACAGAGCTCTGTGCTCTGTCTCTGGAAATATCTGAAGGGGTTTCCCTACAAAGCATCTCCAATCATATGCAGTCCCATTTGGGATCCATCAGCCAGTCAGCAAGTGGTGTTTTTGAGAGTTTCCTTTTGACTCAAGCCCTGTATCTGAACCTGATGCACTTTTTCCATGACGGTGGCAGATCTGATAATGATGCTGTCCTCATAGCCAAACAATGGGCAGAATATGAGATTTCCACTGAGAACCTCTTTATAATTGAATTCCTGAGCACCCTCACATCATCACTGCAGAGTGCAGTTGGAAGAGCCTCTGTGTTTACTTTAAAGATGGAAATCCAGTGTTTAAAGCTTCTCTTATCCACACTCACAGATCTAAATGTAAAAGAAGCCCACTCAGAATCCACTGAAATGCTCCTCAAATTTGTGCAAATGAACCAATGGACTCCAATGGAGGCAGTCACTCTGCTTAAAGCACTGTCACAGAAATATGCAGATGATGATTCCATAACTCAAATCCTTACCTTGGTACAAGTGTATGACATACCACCAGACTGGATAGATGACTGTGGGCACTCTCTAATCCAGCTCCTTGAATCTGCTGCTCCTGAGAGATTTTGTCAGGATTTCCAAAAGACTCTAAGAGGAAAAGATGAGAGCAGTGTAACTGCAGTTCTAGCAGAAGCAAAGATGTTCTGGAATTTAAATGACCCTGTCATTGATATGATAAAAAACATTAACACTGGTGTCCTGAAATATACAGAAAATGTACCAAAAGAAGAACCTTTTATGAAAGATTCATTTAAATGTGAATCTTTGAATATAGACAACATACAGAAGTGTCTGTGTCAGCTCTGCAAAGCAGTGTTCAACATAAAAGGCTGGTGGCCCACAGTGAGGCAGATGGTGCGGTGGTGTGCACTGGTGCTGACTCATAAAAGTGGAGTGGTACAACTGGTTGGTGTGGAAGAAGACCCATGTGTTACAGCCATGTTTGCAGCCATGCAAGTCTGCTTGGGAAACAAACTGGACATTGTGCTGAGCTCTGATGTTCACTCAGAGGAGCAAACAAAGGAGTGGTCTGACTTCTACAAGCACCTTGACATTTCACTCAACACAAACATGAAGAGGACTGATCCATCATTCCAGGATGTCTATGAAGCAGACATTGTTTATGGTACAATGGATGATTTTGTGTCAGATTATGTTCAACATGGCATAGAGGCAATGGAAACAGGGCATACACAGTTTAGTCGTGGATTCATTATTGAAAAACAAAGTCTCAGTGCTTTCCATAATCTGGAACTTTCAAGACTCAAAGACGATGACTCTCTGGTGTTTGCTGCAGAGGTCCTGCAGAACCTCATGAGTAAATTTCACAGTGAAGATGTGGAACTGAGACACATGTTTATTAAGGCCCTTTTTCAGGTCCTCCACAGTACCCTAAACAAAAATACAACCACTGGCAGTAAAATCATCACCATCTCAAAGAAAATCACAGGAAAGGAATTGCTTTCTAATGAGATCTTCATTTTGACCTTTCTGGAAAATCTCTTGCAAGTGTTTGCTAGAGAAACAGAAGCTGTTAAAAACATGACAGATCCTGCAGGCAAATGGTGTTTGGATAATTTATTTGCCTGTGTGGAACAATTCCAATACTTAGACAAAGAAACCAAAGAAGTCTTCAAGATGGTTTCAAATCTTGGAAAAAACCCACTTTGGTCACCAGTTGAGGTCTTAAACCTTCTCGAAGCATTAACTATCCACCACCATGATCAAAACTGTATTTTCATCTTGAAGATTTTACATTTGATGGAAACATATCAGGTTTCTTCCAAGTGGAAAGATGAAAACAACAACTCTCTCCTTGAGCTCATAGATTCATGCACAACTAAGAATCTGATCCAGCATCTAGACAAGAGCCTTAAAGATGAGAAAACTGAAAGCATTGACAACCTTTTTTATGAAATACGGCAGATGAAAGAAATTGACGAACAAACACTGAGTAAATCATACAACATAGTAACTCATGTAACAAACCTCATCAAAACTGGTGAAATTAAAAAACACACAGATATACGGCGAGCTAGGACTCTGAGTCACAGCATGGAGACAGAGGACCTTCAGGAGATCCTTGCAATCTTATGCAATGCTGTACACCTCCACAAAGCTGAAAGGAAGTGGTTTCCAAGGACAACTCAGATGATAAGCTGGTGCCTGTTGGCTTTGTCTGACACTGGGAAGCTCCTGGAGATGGGAACTGGAGAAGGGAAGTCTTGTGTCATAGCGATGTTTGCAGTGCTGCGTGTGCTTAGAGGTGAAAAGGTGGATGTGGTGTCCAGCTCCTCTGTGTTATGTCAAAGAGATGC